CTCTCTCTTTCTCTCTCTATAAATATATATATATATATATACTTTGCTGGTTTTTGTGTTTCTCTAGAGAACCCAATCCAACACAGCATACATAGCCAGATTCACAAAATAACACCCGACCTTTTGTTTTTATGTGCCACCATAGATAGGCTTTGTTTTGGTTACCTCTAATGCTGCTCTGACAGGAGATATACCACAGATGGGATGGCTTTAACAAACAGAAGTTTATTCTCTTACAGTTTGGAGGCTTTAAGTCCGAGTTCAAAGTGCCAGGCTCTAGGGGGTGGGTGAAAGCCCCTCAACCTTGGGCTTCAGTTCTGCCTCCTGCTCCCGGCCCACTGAAGCTAGAGGCATTTCTTCACTCAGGCAGGTGCTGGCTGCTGAGGCTAACAAACCCAGGGTCGACAAGTAAAAATGCACAGTCCAGTGTTACCAAACCACACAGCCTACCATTAATTCAAGTCCATTGAAAGTCCCAAGATTAGCAGAGCATGGCAGACTACTGAAATGAAGAGTTGGCTACATGCAGGGTTCAAGTGTGCCAAAAAGCTATAGACCATTCCCAAAGCTGCTTCTTATATATGGGAAGCAGACCACATCCTTAAAGCAGCTACTCAGCTGCTTATGGTAGTATCCCACTATGGAGCTGATTGCCAGTCTCATCATGAGGAATAATTACCATCAGCTACCCAGCCACTCAACCAGGTCCAGCCAAGTTGACACACAACCTTAACTACCACAGGCTTCATGAAGCATTACTAGCCACGGGGATGAAGAAGTGCTAGGCAGGCAATCACCACAGTAAGCCTCAATGGAACTGCCAGGGGGGCTATAGCCACCTTATACCAAAAAGATGTTGCTGCTGGAAGTGCTGAGCTCAGTAGCACTGAAGCGGCATCATCTACAGATGTACCTGTGACACTCTCTTTGGTACTGTTGTTGTCACATCAGCAAATATTAGTAGCAAGGCTGAGCAGGTACTGTGGAGAGACAATCCCTTCATGACATGGAGCTGACACCCAAGATACTACAAAACTTCTAATTAGTTCCCCAGCAGGATCCATAACTGATTGGCTCAATTACCAACAGTGGGTATGAACCTTTGTCTACATGTTTATCAGTGGCTTCAACTTGTTGATTAAAGAATTAACAAAGTCAAGCTTGTTGCCTCAGATGATGACATCTTACAACACTATCAAGGGATATCTAGCGCAGGTACAAATAGCACTATCATGTTCCAGTTATGTCCCATCATTTATAAAGGCCACCAGCCCATTAAAGCTAAGATGAAAACCAATGTGGTAGTTAAGGTAGTTACATATCAACTTGACTGGGCCTGGTTTTGAGTGGCTGGGCAGCTGGATGTAGTTATTACCCATGATAAGACTGATAATCAAATCCATGGCAGAATCTGCTGTGAGCAGCCTTATGGATGTGGTCTGCTTCCAGTATATAAGACAGCTTTGAGGAGTCTTTACCTTTTTGGCATGTCTGAACTCTGCATGTAGCAGAGTCTTCATTCAGCAGCCTGCCATGTTGTCTACTGATTGAGGCTATTTCCAGACTTGAACTAGTGGCCTGCCATGTTGCTTGCTAATCTTGGGACTGAGCCATTTTACTTGTTGACCTTGGGTTTGGCAGCCTCAGCAGCCAGCAGCTGCCTAAGTTAAAAGAAGCCTCCAGCTTCAGTGGGCTGGGAGCAAGAGGCAGAGCTGGAGCCCAAGGTCAGGGGGCTTTCACCCAGCCCTAAAGCTGGCACTTTGAATTTGGACTTCTAGCCTCCTTAACAGTCTAAGAGTCTAAATCCCTGTTTGTTAAGACCTTCCACTTGTGTTATTTTCTATTCAAGTGCACTAAAGAACCAAAACAACCAAGTTTGAAAATGCAGGTGCAATGTGCCACTCAGCAGTTGCCAAACTAGCAAACTTAAAAATACCCTCTGTGTTCCAACTGCTGCCAGGGCTGGACAAAGCAGCCCACTTCTTCCTACAATGCATTAGTAGCTTCTGAATGAATTCCTGATGCCACAGTTACAATTCCTGTGATGGCAGCAGCCTCTGCCCTGCCATATTTAGGGCATGGGCTAGTTCACATTCTCTCATTAGTTGGTGTTGCTGGATATGACAAATGAACCCATGCATAAAATAATTAAAAGTTCTGATTTTGCTAAAAATTTCCACTATCCTAGTAAAGAAGCTTCTTCCACGCACACATAAATAAAATCCCTCCTCCTCAATCTTTTAGTCTATGGATTTCCCATCCCTATACCACATCTGAATCAGGATCATTGTGTTAAAGGTTTATTAACTCCTGCTATGCATAACAGATACATTTACCAAATAATAGATGTTTAATGGCAAAATTCCACAACTACCAAAAATTGGGCTCCTACAGGGATCAGGAAAAGCACCTTATGGTATGGTCACTGCACCTTCAAAAACTGTTTTCTTAATGACCCATATTTTCAATAGCAATCTCCAAATAACACTGTAATTGATATTCTTCAAATGCAGGCAACAAAAAGATATATATACCAACTGAAAAACATTTGGATAAATGAATCACTTGTTTCCACTTAAACAGGGATTTAACCACACTGCCTCCCAGGCACTTCCAAGACCTACTAAGAAATGCAGAATAAAATGGCAACAAATATTCAAAGCTGTTACATGAGGAACACCACTGATTCTGAATAGTACTGTGTGTACTTGAAATTACAAGTGAAAACTAGGAGCTAGAGAAGAAAAAATATTTAACTAAGTAAATAAAGCCTGTAACTGAATGTTGAAAGATTTTTGCCTGTACATTGTTCTCTAATTCCTACCCCTCTTTCAGCATTTAGGTGATGCCCTGCTTACCACAGTAGAGACACCCTTACTTCTGAGTCCAGTCACAGGGGAAATTGTTTAGAATAGGGATACCACTCATAGATATACCAAACCGTTTCTGTAATAAACCATGTTAACTGAATTTATTTTTTCCACAGTCTTAACACTGCATACTCACTGTTCTGCAAGGTCTGGACAAACAATTTCTCACCCCCTCTTCCCCCACCCTGCTTAAGAGCAAGAGTCCCTTATGTTCCCTGAGCTCCCAGTGGCAGAGGAAGCAAAACACGTATCACAGAGCATCGTAACTGGCTGTTCTATTACCAAACATGTTTCATGAAATCAGAACTTATTAACATGGTCTTAAATGGTATTTAAGAAAACACTTTCCCATGAACTCGTGAGTTTGCTTTAAGAAAGGATCATGACAACTTTATAAACTTCTAAGAAAAAAAACATTACAGAGTAAAACAATTTTTGACCTTGAAAATGTATTTTTTCACTTTACAAGGTACAATACATGCTTCTATTTGGATTTTAAGGACAAAAATCTTTATTACGAGTTTGTGATCATAGCCTCTGAAATTTCAAAAGTTGCCACAATATTTTTCCAGTCCTGTAAACTCAAAGATATAACTCCTTGTTTCCTGCCGTGGAAACTGGGATCATTCTCCTCATCCATTTGGTTAGTATTAATTGGCTCTAATATTGGCAACCTGTCTTGGTCAAGGCTTATCCTTGCAAAACCATCCCTTATGATGAAAGAAACATAAAATATATTCTCCACAGTGCGAGAGAAGGAGTTTGGATCAACCACAAACTCAAAATATGACACAGGAGTATCAGGATACTTTTTAAAGTAGGTCTGCAACAATCCCAAGATTCTTTCTACCGCTTTTTCTGTCGCCTCTTGGTTACTACTCAGGTCCATCTTCCTCAACTTTGTAGGCATATCTCCATTTTCTTCCATTTTGCGAACTCTCTGCCGTTGTCGTGGCTTTGGTGCAGAAGGCTCTGACTTGACTGACCCAAAAATGAAGTGGAAATTTTCAGCTCGCAATGTCCAGGACATTGCTTCCTTTTGTATTGTCTCCCAGAAGGAACGAGCTACGCTATTATCACGGTCGCCTAACGCTTCATATCCCTTTTCCAGCCTATTGAGACCCACAAATGTAAACAGAAAGTCACAAAATGTTACTTGATTAAAAAAGCTCATATCAGAGTTTAACTGCTTTGCTTTTTCTTTACCCAAATCAGAAGCCAAAACGAGAAACTGGGCATCGAGAACTGCTTCTCTTGTTCGGCTTACTCCATCAAAGAGGACGTTTGCTTCTTCCAGCGCCTCTGTCAATGTCTCGTTCGCTGTGTTTACTATGTCATCACGTTGCTGTTGAACGTTATATATGAGCTGCCGGTACTGCCTGCGGATATTTCTACATTTCTCTTCATCAGCCACATGCCCTAGGAGGAATGGATCTATGCGTACCTCCCCAAAGCTGAGGTCTTCAGAGCAGCTATCCACCCCCACCGTCACCTCCACCTTCATCGGTTCCTCATCCAGACGCTTCTGAGGGTACTTACTGCCAGTGATGGTCAGGACTGGCTCCTGTCTTTTTCCTTCGCTTCCCCTCAGAGAATCTTTTTCATCAGACATGTCAGCAACAGATGGCACTTAGCTAACTGCCTTCACGTTTCTGACGACGGTGTTAACAGAAGCTGGCAGTTAGAGCGGAAGAGGACCACGACCAATGCGTACTAACGGCCCGCTCCGGCCCTCCTTCTAGGCTCACACAGCCGCTGACGTCACCGCTCTGCACGCGGGCACAGAGCAAGGCCAGCATTCGCAAGCAAGCCTGCAGCCTGGCGCAGAACGCCACGAGATAACCCTGGCCAGCCACATGCTTAACTACGTGCTCAACGGGCAGACTTGTATTTTGTGTTTACTAGGAGTATAGCAACTTGAAAAGAAGTACTTCTGGAACTTCCTGTGACAAAATTTTTGGGGGGACCGATGATCAGCATTTTAAAAGTTACTGCGATACACTGCGGTTAGGTCGACCTACATTTTTCTTAAATACAATGATTAAAAGGTCTCTTTTTTTTTTTTTTTTTTTTCAAAATAAAAAAATGGAAAAAAAACAGCCTAAAAGATTGGCTGAATTAAAATTGCTTGTGAAGCCAGGGATCTCTAAAAGGCTCAACTCTCAGGGCTCATTTGCAAGGAGGGGGTTTGGAAGTTGGTGAAGATACCATACAGATGTAAATTGGGTTAATTATCTTCACGGGCCCTCAAAAGCCAAATCTCCACCAACCCTACCCCTCAGGTAGCTATGGGGGTGGACCATTACTCAAGAGAGGAGGTTTTCCACCACCCAAGGGCAAACGAATTCATAGGTGGTTCTCTGATAAATAGCTGTTTGGGGGTAAGCTTGCTAAAGGCTACCCACTCTACATAGATAGTAAATACCTAAAAGGTAAGCAAGGGGCCTCGTGGCAACATGGTTAATCGGGTGCTAACCCAAAAGGTCAGTGGCTAGAACCCACTAGCTGCTGAGAGACAACAACAACAAAACACATTGCCATGGAGTCACTTCTGACTCATGGGTCGGAACACAGAAGCAGACTCCCTCCTACTGGTTCAAAAGAGTCTTTCGGTTAGCAGCCAAACGCTTTAACCACTGCACCACCAGGACTCCCTGCCATAAAGATTACAACCTAGGACACCTTATGAAGCAGTTCTTCTCAGTCATATAGGGTCGCTACAAACTCCACTGCACACAATGACAACAAAAGGCACACCAAATTATGAAGATTTTAAGCACAATCTATTATAAGGATAAAAAAGAGAATGCTGTATATTGGCTAACTAATATGCAGTGGAAAATTCACCCAGCTGGTCAATGGAGGCACTGGAAATTCACATGGGAAGGAATTCATTTTGTTTTTAAAGAGACTATGCACACTGAATTTGCCCTTCAAAAAAAACCAGAACCACACTCCACCTACCAGTCAATTGCTGGCTTTAAGAAACAAGGAAGTAAACCAGCATCCAGAATGGTTCCCTAGATGCTATCAGCATAAAGTTTCTTGCCAATGCATGAACACTAAAACCTAGTATTGTTGTTGTTGTTATTTGCCATCGAGTCGGCCCGAGTCGGCCCGGCTCATAGCCACCCCTCCTTGGGTTTCCGAGGCAGTAGCACTACAGAAGTAGGATTGCCCAACCTTCCTTCCGAGGAGTGGCTGGTGGGTTTGAACCACCAGCCTTCTGGTTAGCAGTCAAGTGCCTTAGGCACTATGCTACCAGAGCTCCCAAAACCTAGTATTAGGTGACTCCAAAAATCCTTATGGTACCACTATTTGTCCACAATTACTTTGTAAGTGGAGGTGATTCAGGAACAAAGCATTTGTCAAAAACATTGTGGTTATTTATGTTTATCTCTTCCCTATTACAGACTGTTGTTGCTGTTGTTGCTATGAGTCGGACTCGACTCATAGCAACGCCTCCTTGGGTTTCTGAGGCAGTATCACTACCGAAGTAGATTGCCCCATCTTCCTTCCGAGGAGTGGCTGATGGGTTTGAACCGCCAGCCTTCTGGTTAGCAATCAAGTGCCTTAGGCACTACGCTACCAGAGCTCCCTTACAGACTGTTAGCTTCTCAAAAGCAAGAACTTTGTTTTCTTTCATTTAAAGAACTTCTTTTTATATCTTCCAGGCATAGCAATTTTCACATGGAGGTACTCAAGTATGCATTGAATGAATAAATGCATGTTGATTAAAAACTGTTGTTCCAGCACCCATTGGAAGTTACATGGATAAGAGCTTAAATTCTAAAGCACTTGATTTGTAGAAGGCTGCTGTCTACAACAAGAGCGCTAACTCCATTCTGACTCTCGACATAAATTCAGACCCCATTTGAGTTCTTTATGTTACATCAACAATATGGGTATGCTTTTAGACAAATCCTGGCAAGCCCAGGGAGGAGCAGCTTGCCCTCAGGAAGAATGCAGTTGAAAGTAGGAAAGTGTTTATACAAAGAACTAGGGAGCTTGCCTGGGCAGTCCTGTAATGATTTACCAAAAACAGCCATTCAGATGCATTTATCCAGTTTAGCTAAATGTTGGGGTTCTGGTATTGTCTTGTAACCACCTTGTGACTATGACTTAGGGTCGCATGATCAAGAGTCACAGGGGCACATGATCAAGAGTCATACACAACCACCACATACCATGAAAAAAAAGCCCAATGTCATCGAGTCGATTCTGATGCACAGCGACCCTATAGGACAGAGTAGAACGCCCCATGTTTCCAACACTGTAAATGTTTACCAAACCAGACAGCCTCATCTTTTCTCCTGCAGAGCAGCTTGTGTTCAAACCTTGAGGTTAGCAGCAAATGCCTTAACCACTGCACCACCAGAGCTCCTTATCACCACATAACCAAGTAATTAAAACCCCAGAATCAATTCCTGTAACCTTTTAACCTATAATTTACATGTATCCTTATGTTTCCTTCCTCCGCTTCCTTTCTGTAGTCGCACCTATCAAATTGATGAGCTGACCAGCCACCAATCACAATCTTATGATTTTCTTTGTTGCCTACAGTGTATAATGAACACCATGGCTATGTTCAGAGGATTCCATCGGCCTTTGTACTGGGCACATGCTGACAGTCTCCCTCATCAGGATGACTGTTTTTGTCTTCTTCCTGTTTCAGTCTTAATAAAAGGGTCTCTACAGTTGATTAGAGCTTTAATTCTGAAGCACTTGGGTTGTGGAAGGCTGCAGTTCACAGGGGAGCCCTAACTCCATTTTTAGTTTTGACCCAAGTTCAGACGCCATTTGAGTTCTTTCTCACCTTTAAACCAACATGGTGGCTGTACATAGACACTTCCAGGACAAACCTGGGGGGGGGGCAGTTTGTCCTCAGGAAAAGCGTGGTTCAAAGTAGATTATGTTCACACAAAGAACTAGGAACTTGCCTGGGTGTGTCCTTTTCTAATTAAATAATGGTTGGGGTCCTGTTATTATTTTGTACCCACTTTGTGGCTATGACTCAAGTCGCATGGTCAAAAGTCACATCCAGACCACCACCTAGTTAGGCTGTCAAGGCTCAGAACCAATCCTGTAACCCTTTCTATCTTCAGTTATGCACAAATCCTAATCATGGTCCCTTCCCTGTTTCTGTAGGCCTACCCGCAATAATGATGTGCCACCCATTATGATTCTGTGATGATTTCCTGTTTCTAATCGTATATACTTAGCCCCACGGCCATGACTCAGCTGACTCCATTCCGTTTTCTGCGTACATTTTGATGGTTTCCCTCATGCTGGATGATTGTCTTTGTTTCATCTTTGTCCTGTCTAAGGTTTAATAAAAGTGTCTCTATTGAACCTGTTTGAATCTGGGGTCTCTTTTCCCCTACCACAACAGAACATTTTGTATCTGGAGTTTTCTGCCCTAGCACTATGGGAGCAAAAATTAAGTTCACAGACTAGTGGAAAGTAATAGATCCTACCTACAACAAGTAAAATTTGACTGCTTTTCAGAAAGAGTCAGCTTTATCCCACTCTGGAATAAAAGAAAAATCAAAGAAAAATATAGTTGGGACTCAGGATCATTAAACAGCCATATTTTCCCTCAAGTCTGGCAATTATAAAACAAAGGTTACATCTGTTTTAAATCTTAGGTTAAAAACCTATAGTTAAGAATTTCAAAACTTCAAAACCAAAAATACTTGCTCTTTGTTGACCATATTCTTGGGAGTTGAGGTTTCCTTTCCATCCTTCTAATATCTACTTTAAATTCAATAAAGGCAATTTATTTAAAAAAAAAAAAAAAAAGAAGAAAGAAAAAGAAAACCTCCAAAATAGAAGTCAGCCTTCCCACCCAAAAGTATTCTTCTTTCTCCTGGCTCAGAGGAGGGAAAACAGGCTAACACCAATTTGCTCCATACAGAGACTTTCATCTTAGAATTTCAAAATGCTTCAGAAAAATAAACTAATTCTCTCAACCTACTTAGAAAATATTGTTGTTATTTGCCATTGAGTTGGCTTGACTCATAGCAACCCCTCCTTGGGTTTCTAAGGTGGGGTATCACTATGGAAGTAGATTGCCCAACCTTCCTTCCTAGGAGTGGCTATGTTGTTGTTGTTGTTGTTTGCCATCAGTCGGCCAGACTCATAGCGACCCCTCCTTGGGTTTCCCAGTAGGCAGTATCACTACGGAAGTAGGATTGCCCAACCTTCCTTCCGAGGAGTGGCTGGTGGGTTTGAACCGCCAGCCTACTGGTGAGCAGTCAAGTGCCTTAGGCACTTTGCTACCAGAGCTCCTTAGAAAGTATTAGTAATAGCATTTACAGGGATTTCTCAGGAGTTAACAGCCCACACAATTTGCTCAGAGCCACAAAACACATCAAGGCAAGTATGTCATTACTAAGCTGTGATTTCCAGGGCTGAATTCATTCTATGCTAGGTCCCTGACACCAAGAACAAGTAACTTAGATCATCCTCAGTCTTAACTGTATTGCAGTCTGTCTTGTTTATCTGTCTTTAGAGCACAGGGTTTTAGATACTACTACAAAGTAAATCTCAAGTCTAATAATCTTCCTCTAGCCACTCCTCGAAAGGATGGTTGGGCATTCCTACTTCCGT